AAAAATTTAACAGCTACTTAAGTATAAAAATGTACGTCAATCTGCATATTGACTGGAGAGATTATATTGGTTTCCATTAACATAAAAAAAAACATGTAAATTGTCGCGATGTCGTGTTCTCGTTGGCGTCGCCATTTGTTTATCCCTTTGTATTCGGGTCGCGGCGTTTTATAGTCAAAATGTCTGATCAAAAACAAATAATAATAACCTTTATCTGTATTAAATGTCTGTCGATTACTGGTGCCCATTTTTATTTTATGAAAAAGAAAACACATTGTTCTTTTTTTAAATAAATAAATGATTAAATTCACGTATTTATCAAATATTTATGAATGTAGTAAAAATAACATGTAATTACAAACCTACTAGGAACAGGATTAAAATCTTTTATGGGCAAAGAAGGAAAATCCTTTATTGTAAACAAATTTAGCGAAATTGAACTTTATGATCAATCAAATTAGAATAAATAATCGCTTGGATAATAATATAAAACATAGCATTTTTACAACGTATGAAACATACAAGTGCAACATAAAAAGAACCTTATGGCATTACTAGTAGAGTTGGTATTTCTTTACCGAATAGTTTATTCAGTAGGAATGCTAGAAAACATCCGTTGTATCGCTATCTCAGAGGAAACTGCTTGCTTGCCTGCTATCGAAAATGCGATTGTTACTAACTTTTTAATAATAATAGTTACACCGTTCATTGAAGTCAATGATAAGCCAGATATTTTTAATTTTTTTTAGTAAAATAAAGACTTTTTTAATGATACTGGCCACTAGTACCCCGCTCGTCTTAATGGCCAGTATTAAACGGCTGTCAAAAAATATGTAATACTAGCAACATTACTCTTAAATGTAAGCATTACAAAAAAATAAATTCCAGCTTGATACCTTCACGCGCTTTTAAGAAAAAGGGTCTCAACAAACTAACGGACGGACAACAAAGTATAAGGGTTCCGTTTTTTTCCTATGAGGTACGGAACCCTAAAAACGTAAGATTGAGTTGGTTTTGAAAAATGTTGTTTTATTTTTAAATAATAAGACTTTAGTATAGTAACGAATAATAATTTTATTTGTAATACAGTTAGCACTTAGCACCACATAATGAGAATTAAAACAAAGTATGGATTATCTTTTTACTAAAATCTATTTAAATAATACAATATGAATAAAGCCTGTGACCTCAGACCGTTTCTTGTTTTCGCACAGTGGTCGTTCTATGCAAACGCACGTGTTTTCATATTTGACCTTGACCTTGCCAATCGGAAAATTGACGCTAGCAACACCGATACGCCAAGCAAACAACCTGTTCACAATATATTATGTACTCAATATTATATAGTTTGTATATATGTATATAAATAGATTTTATCATTTGGTAATAGTCAAGTTTTTATAAAGTTTAAGCATAGTAAATTATTTTACATTTAAACATTGTGGAAACCGCTTTTAGTGGAATCAGGGGCTAAGTTTACAATTCAATGCAACCAAAACCTGAGTATAATACAGGGTGTTTTGCAATATCTTTAATTATTTATAAAAAACTCAACTGTTATTTTAATAGTATTTCTGAGCAACCTGTGTAGTTTACGTTAGCAATGTCATTTGCATATCATTGACCTTACCACCAAAGCACATTTTCAGATGATGTCTACATTTTTAACAAGCCATTTTACAACGTGCCAAGAATATTATCGAAATTGGCACTTGTAAAAAGGGGAAATATCAAAGGAAATTTTAGTAAAATTATTTCGAAATTTAAAAAAAGAATTGTCTTTTAATCAGGCAAATTGTAACTTACGGTCTTCGACCTTGACCCTAAATGCAGAAGTGTGCCGAGGTTGTGGCCGGGCACGGGGCATTGGCTCGCGAAAGTGAAAACGTATAACGGGACTCAGATCCAGCACTGGCAGCATAGAGGTCGCACTTTAATGTCGACTTATCGTTTAAAAAAAATGCTCCCGAATTGATGTCGCTTATCTGTGGATCTTTGTGTTTATATTTTTTATAAAAGAATCAATTATTTAAATAAAACCTTCCACAACTAAGCACATGCTAACGGTGTTTCTGACTTCTGTCTATTAGTGTTTTTTTCTAAGTAATATATGTCTCGAATGGACCGTTAATGCTTAGTGACCCGTTAACATCAGAATAATTATGACTCACCCGCCATTTTTTCAGGTGGAAAATCGTTAAATGTGGCGACAGAAAGGGGAGACATTTAAATTAACATATTTTCTTATTAATATTGTCTCGCATCTTGTATCATGATATCGCTGAAATATGGCATATAGAAAATAATCTGAAGGAAGGCATAGGCTACTATTTTTTAATTCCGTGCGGACGTAGTCACGGGCGACGGCTAAGTCGTGAAATATGATATGCAATTTTATTTATAAACATATCTCGTTTAATCGATAACGGACAAAGAAAAATCATAAAGATATGTCATAACACATTATCAGGAGAGCGATATCTTTTGTGCAGTTCAATTTCGTCACGCGATAAGAAATGATAAGTCCGGGGTCGCTAACTTTGCATTGTTTGGGATAAATGCGGAATGCGTTGCCCGTGACGCTTTCAGTGTCACTCAATCAACAAATATACAGAGCAGAACAAATAATCGAACAACTAAATTAGTCTTTGACGTCGTCAATTGATGGCTTCACTTCGTGTCTTTTTACTCTGTCTGTATGTTTGCAATTAACTCAAAAACTACTCAACTGATTTTCTTTAAAGTGTTGATCAATATATCGAGTAGTTCTTAAGGAAGGTTTCAGTATGTAATTTATAAAGTTTTTATTTTAATTGACAACGTGATATTTAAATGATTGAGTTGTATTTAAAGGATCTTGGAAAAAATGTTATTTCGTATTCACAAGGTGAGCTATTCGATTGCGGCGTGCGGTTGTGGGATAACCACACCTGTGTATGAAATAGGGATGTACAAACAATTATTATTACATTTTATCACGATTAAAAGTGATAATAAATGTAATTGGGAACTAAACTTAAGTTAATTGATAAATATTTATCCTTTAGTGATTTTCAAGTGTTATTGTTTCTAAAGTCATTCCTTCTTTATCTAAGTCGCAATTGAATGATAGTCCAATATAAAACTTTTTGTTGTATTAACGATACGAATACGTATGCAACTTTGTTCAACCCTAAAGGTAACCGACGGTTCTTCGCGACGCGCGACAACTCTATACCAATTCTATATTATGCAGCGTAAACATCGCGTAGACATGAAGAGTAGCAGCATAGGGTTGGCACTTGTTAGAAATGTTACGTTAATTATGTTCCGGAAGATAAGCGTGCAAAGGCATATAAATGGCCAGGTGTAGTGGAAAAATGTTGTACAATGATGAGTAGGGCTATCGGTAATAAATAATTTATAGGTAAATGATTAGTTATTTTACAGTCAACCCTATTGCGTGGTCAAGCTTAGCAAATTATTACGCGACGTACACACCTTCGGCGACAAAGTGAGCTCATTGAATTGTAAATATTTAACGAAACAACATTTGTTATTACTTTCTGTATACAACGAGAGCATTGTTAGAAAATCCTCCTACATGTGAAGTAAGTAAATATTACTTACTTACAATTATATTTAATTAAATACGGCACAGGAGCGGGCATTGTGGCAATCGATGGGGGAGGCCTACATCCAGTAGTGGATAAATCTAGGCTGCTTATGATGATGATGATGAAATATTAAAAAAAAATGACTGGTGTAATGTAATTAACCATTATTAATAAGTTTAAATATAATTTTCATTTTAATGAGCGTAAACTTTTTAATACCAAAACAATATGAAAATAAAATATGACTTATCGATAAAATATCGATGTTTAATAAACTCGTACATCCTTAGAATAAAGCGTTGTGTTGTCATCATGTTGTAATATGAACTAGTCACGATGATGACGTCATCGATCGATTCTATCCAATTTAATGTACAGAACTGTGTATTATAAATATTTACATTTATTCCATTACTAGCTGTCGCCCGCGACTCCGTCCGCGTAGCTTTATAAAAAAAACTTAATTAGTGTAGCCTATGTGTTCTTTCAGACTATGTTCTATATGTATGTCAGATTTCGTCGAGATCCGTTCAGCCACATCACATCCATCTAAACACTCGCATTTATAATATTAGTAAATTAAATAATAAGCAGCTCTTCAAGGCATAAATTCGAAAAAATGAATAAATAGTAATATCCTATGTCTGTCTCCTGGCTCTAAGCTACCTCCTCACCGATTTTGAAGCATATCGGTAAAGCCGTTCTTGAGTTATAAATATTGTTACTAACACGACTTTCATTTATGTATATATATATATATATATATATATATATATATCGTTTGATGTGAAATTGTTCACATATTTTTAGTATTTTATTAATTGTTATCTTAATAATATAAATGCGAATGTTTGGATAGATGTTTATTAGAAGGTATCTACAGAACGGCTACATGAATATTGATGAAATTTGGCATAGATATAGAACGTAGTCAGTAATAGCAAGGGATAATTTAGGAGTTCAGGATTCGAAGGTTAAGGAATTAAGACTATATTTTTTTTAGCCATTTGCCGAGAGCTTATGTGGACTAGTTTTTATTTATTATTTCTGTAATTGGTAACGTAGATATGAATTGGATAATGGATACATCACCGCAATGCACCAAGCTTATTAGGTCAAGTCAACAAATTTTGGCGGATGAATCTTACTGTATATTTTTAAAGTATAAAAGTTGTGATATTAAATGCAATCGCTACCATCTATAACAATTAAATATTTAATTTTTACCATAGTATAAGGCTCATAATATTGTTCCGGGGACTCCCCTGATTTACTATCGGTACCGGTTTGTCTATGTTTGTCGAATGAGTGTTCCGTTTTGTCATTTAATATTTTCTAGTGGCGATGAGATTATTTTTGATGTGAAAAGTGTGAGAAATATATTTGTCTCTGTCTGTCACGCAGATAGCGCACAATGCACGAGCAGGAGGGCGAAGGAGAGCCGGCGCACCACGCGCGGCGGCCTATGAACGCCTTCCTCATTTTCTGCAAGCGGCACCGCAGCGTCGTGCGCGACCGCTACCCCAACCTGGAGAACAGGTACACGATACTAACACCTAATACTATGGCGCATTTAGTGTAGATTTTTCACTAAGGGTCCCCTTAGCTTTCAATCAACGATTAGTCCATCCAGCAGCTGTATAAAATAGATATAGAAAATCTTAGTTATAATATAATATATTTTAAGGTTCAGTATTTATTAATAAGGCTTTCATCTTCCTTATATAATGAAGGTCAGGCATAAAGATTAAAGTATTTTTTCATACAGATTCTTTATTATAAATGGTTTAAGTTTTTAATACACAAATCGCAGTTGCACGCTGACCTCTTGTCATACATTGGACGTATTAAACATATTGAATTTATTATTATTGCAGATCCATAACTAAGATTCTGGGCGAATGGTGGGCTAATTTGGACAAAGAAGAGAAATCTTGCTACACGAGTCTTGCTAAACAGGTAATTAAATCTGCATATTATGTTTGTTTGTAGATAAACTTATACAAATTGTCTGTGTAACGTAGAATTTTTCGTTTGCAGTATAAAGACGCATTCTTCAGCGCCAACCCTGACTTCAAGTGGTACAAGTTGCCCGCGCCCCCGCTGCGCACGCTCTCCTCGCGGCCGCGCGACACCGACAAGACTGTCGAGTCCCCCGGCGACTGCCACTACCCCGACCTCGAGAAGACCAACAACAACTCCACTAAAGTAGATCTAAACAAGAAGCCCGCCGACGATGCCTTTCACAATGACGCCAAACCGTTGTCGATGTTTACGCCGGGCAAGCTCGCCGACGAAGCCCAGATGGGAGGCCTCAGCAGCCTCCTTGCAACTAAGACTGAAATACAAACCCCCAATCCATACTACTCACCCCCCTCGTTTAAGTTTAGCGCGATCTCAACACCCATGGAAGACCGATCTCAACATATAATGAAATGTAATAGAGATGACGAACTGCAGGACGCCCTCACAGAAACCACCAGGATATTTGAAGAGGATTTCGATGAGAAGGGACAAATATATCGATACGGCGTCCCGAACGATCAATTCACTAACCAGGACGTCATCAATCAAATCGTCGACAAGAGGTACTCCACCGAGGAAGGGTATCAAAGGAATTGGTCCGACGACGAGAAATCCAAATCCGGGAGGACTTGCAAAGGCAAGCGCTACCAGGAATTCATGGCCGTCGGGGGACTGATAGTGAATAAGCGACCGAGACGAGACTTCGGCGACAAAACGCCAGACGAAAGCTACAGCGCGTCCTGCAGCTGGGATCCTGGCAACTCCTACGAGGAATCTTACATCGACGACTTGAAACCGAACTACGTGAACGAGGTCGTCATAAAAGACGAAGTAAAATACGAACCGGCCGACGCCGTCGAGCCGGACAACAACTCCAGCAAAACATTCAAGGCCGCCGACTTCGACTTGGACGCCAAGATAAGAGCGCTGCCCTCCCTCAGCTTGGAGAAGTTCCTCCAGAAGAAGCGCGAGAACAAACGCAAGAAGAAAACTATCAACCTGAAGCCGAAGGCGCTCGAGACGTCGCAGATCATAAACTCGGTGCCGCGGCCGCCGTGCGACGAGCGGCGCGAAATGGCGGAGAGGTGGCGCGACCACGTCATCGGCAGCCAGAAGCGCAAGCCGAGGAAGATCAGCATCACGCGGCTGGAGGTGAACAGCATGGTGTCGTGCGACACGACCGGCATCGCTGAGACCAGCCCCGAGATGAAACTGGCGACGGAGGCGCCGTGCGGCGTGATGGCCGGCATGGAGGCGTGCGGGCAGGCGCATCACAGCGCGGGCCTGCTCGCGCTCGCCACGCTGGCCGAGGTGGCCGCCAACACATCTAAGATAGAGGACCCCGCCTCGGCCCCGGCACCCGCCCCTGCCCCTGCACGCGGCGACCGCACTTCCGAGGTATAAAATACCGATACATAGCCTTAACCGATATTCCAAAAATTATTTACTCGATAATCAGATAATATTTATATATAGATCTACATTTTACATGGTACGCATAAAGAAATAATATTATTGTACACGTTTTAATTGTAGTTTTTATAAATTAGAGATAGAATTTATTTATATAGAGATAGAGAAGATTTATGTATACCTGGGTTGAGTTCGTGTAGGTCGCGATGTTCCGCTTTATAGGAATAAAAACTAAGGGTGATAGATATATAAATAAAGTAATATAAATTATCACAAGAATAAAAGAAGCATAATCTATTTTGCATGTAAAAACATATTATCAGATTTTGAAAATACGGCGGGATCTATGATGTTGGTCAATTAAGGAAATCGGAACACGCCGTATTCGATTTATATATACATATTATATGTATACACGTAATTATGTTATATTAAAAATAAAATGCCAAAAATAAGTCATTGTAAAATCATAAACCTCATTATGTGTAACTTAGGTTATTTAAATCGCCTTAATATATATATAATAATGTCGCAACAGACACCACGAGCATAGACTGCGTTGCATTTTAAGGTGACTTGTTTTTTGTTTTGTTTATCATAGTATTGCATGTTTGCAAACATAATGTAACATTTACTTAAGGCACTTGTACAGTTGTGTTTTTATCACAAAGGCATTTTGTGTTAAAAATTAGTGATAAATATTATAACAACGTTAATGAATTAACGTTTTGTTATTGATATTATTTGTTTAAGAGAAATAACCTTTTGATAGGTTTTCCATCGTTGCAAATAATTTCCAAATTAACAGTCCATTTTGTGGGTGAAACTGACAAACCTTACCTTGTGATAAATATTTATGCTAGTGAAAAACTTTACAATTATACATAGACGAAATGTCACAGACAAATATAGATTAAAAATTAAACTGGCTATGTGACATTTTGTTTAGGCATAGATTATTCAGTCCCAGGTTTTACCAATCTGTTTTATACGAGATCTATCACCACTCTACTATATAAAAAAAACTTAAAAATTAAAAAAAATAATAATCTTTACGTTCAAGTACGTAAATCCTGTCCCAATTAGGTACCTGAAAATTATCGAAAATTTTCATGAATACTTTTTTAAGAGAATCATTGCTTCATTTTTATTTATAAGCTATTTTATTCTTCATCAAGACCTTTCATCACTTAGTAGTTCGTCCCAGAACAGTGTTTCTCAAATATATTTTTTTCTATGTTGTTTATTTTTGTGATGGATTTTTAATGGCCTCTGTGATCAATCTGTTATTTTTCCTATGTTTAAATTAAATTATACGGAAGGTGGTTGGTGCGATGCTTACGTTGCAGGTCTAGTCTAGAATAGTATTTTTTATAAAATATAATCAAGTACTAAATTCGAAAAGTGCACTTATTTAAAGTAACAAACAATGACACAAGCCATAATATGACATGCTCATCCAAAGACCAAATGTATTTATAGAGAAACTAGGCATTAGAATAATAGTATGTAATATATAAGTGATATATAATTAGTATATTATATATTATAATTAATATATTTTAATAACCTCTAATCGTTATGGCAACATTGTCAGATTTCTGTAGTTTTTTTTTATGTTGCAATTTGTTTATTTTCAAATTTAAATTATTCGTTTTTATATATATTTTATAAATTGTTACGTTTGAAAATTTAGCTTTTTAAAACTTTCCTTTATTCATATAATCTGATGAGCTTTTGAAGGTTTTAATTCTTCTAACTCCTGTTTTTTACAATCTGAATAACTTTGATTACAATTTTCATCACATATTGAGCCTTATTTTATTCGAAACTAGTCTTAAGGTTACAATAACCAAGGGGCCAGTATGTGCAAAAAGATGGGTTAGATTGAAAAGTTTTTGATACGAAAAAGGGGGCGTATTGCCAAAATATTATGGATATTGATAAGAAAGAGAAGCTGTATATTTAAAGGCGATTTAAAAATGGTGCTGGAAGATCTGTTATATTATAAAAAGTAGCCGTCGCACAAGTTTCCTATTTAAACCACAGATCAAGTGGTAACCGATTTTATTAGTGTTATTTGTATATTTTTGTTACTGTACTATTTGTTTTAACGAATCACCTCGTATATTATTCAAAATAACAACGGTTGCGATATTTTAATTTTAATCAAGTAAATACAAACAATATCAAAGTTATAGTTTTTATTACTCCGTTTTGTTTATGTTGAGGAGATGAATTTTTAATGGTCTTTTGCATCTGAGAGATTTGCTCATGAGACTGTTAAAACAATGTTGCCATTTAAAGTATATAAACTGTAAAAAAAGAGATTGATAGTAAATAGCCGTGTTAAAAAGCGATGATTGCAGAAATGTATATATTAAAATATTAGATATTTTATTTTGGTTTGGTTTAACCTACCAAATGTTGTATTGGCTATTTGATAGTTTAACTTTGATATTGTTTGTTAGATAAAAATTATGGGACGGTTATTGGTTTGAGAAACACTGGTCTATGTATATCGTTAATTAGGGCATAATAAGTCAACATCCAAAGTGTTTTGTTGGCTCCAAAGTGTTTTGTTGAATGTTTTGTTAAAGGCGAGTGTGGTTCAATCTATATCTTTTATTGTAGTAATAAAGTTTATTCATATTAACATTTCTGTTGTTTTCATTTATGTGTCTTCTTATTTTCTTGCACCACAACGATAACAACTAAGAGGTCAATAACCTAATGTAATGTATTGTTATTGCAAATCCTATATGATTTGTTCCTTTTTCTAGTTTTATAGATATTCATGGACAGATGTGACACATGTAAAGTTACTGATAATAACATAAAGCCTGAACCAAGAATATAAAAATTTGAGCCAGAGTCTTTTTTATATTCTTTGTCAGAGTAGCTTCAATTGGCTTCTTTAATACTTTCTGAAGCCCGCAAAGATATAAACTCAATATTTTTTCCGAAATATCTCGAAGAGTTTTATATTCTTCCTCAATTATAACATTTGAAGACTCGCGAAGGTATCATTGAATTTATATAAATTATGCTGGCAACATATTTTCCTCAAATGTTTGAAATGTCATTGTCAAATGTTATTGACATACAGGTCAATTGTTCGTTATGAAAATTTTGTTAGTGGATTTAATAACAAAATTTGGTTTTCTGTATAAAGAAGAATTGTATTATTACTACAAACGTCAAGTTTATTTGTTTCAAATCTGGATGATAATACAATGATCGCGGCTTCGGAACCTTTGGTAAGTTATGTTGTAAAATAGTAATTTGTTGAAAAAGGCATACTCGGTTTTATTGTTATTAATGTACATATTAAAATATTTTACTTCTTCAACTTACTCATTGTATGGTAAGTAATGTATAGATAGGCTTTCTTCTTTGACAAATTTTCTAACTACGTTCAATTTTCTTTACCGGCGTTTTCGCCTTACTTATCGAATTAGCCACAGTCATAAATTTATTTCATAATTTTTCATACACATTTTCATAATCCATATAAAAAACCAAGTATTAGCAGTAACATTTTTATATTGTAAACATTAATTTGTCTCGTACAAAAATAAAGAAAAAGCAAAACTCTTCATTTAGTTAATATTCTTGTAGGAGTTTGTGCCTCATGGCAGGACAGTACTTTCAAAGCATCCTGGTCAGATCTACGGTAAAGGTCTTAATAATTCCTCATCAGAGAACTCACTGATGTACAAACTGGCTAATTTTGCCATAAAAGATGAGAGTTTGCTCGAAAGCAAGGATTCTGGGGAGGAGTGGTGGTGTATCAGAGAGATTTACTATAGAGAAACTGGTGGTAAGTGGTAAAAGTACTTATTAATAACTAGAAACTTTTATTTTTCAATTACTCCTAACCCTTTTCTTTTATTGAATGTCAAATTAAACAAGCAAGGCATTTTGTATTGGTTTTAGTCATCAAAAAAAGTCAGTGATTCACTGACTGTCTTAACTAAAAATAATTAAAAAAAAATTTACTTACAGACGTAGATGAAGATGAAACTCAGCAATCAACGAAAGAAAAATATGAAGACTCTTTCAGACCTCCAAGTAGAATTAAACCAGAATTTAACATATCAATTAAATCGGAGTTACTCAGCGGTATGAAGAGAACTGAAGGTGAACCAGGTACTTCACAAGGTGGTAGTGCAAACAGTTCCAGCAATATGTCTAAGAAATTCAATCTAAATTCGTCACAGAATAAACAGCCTATGACGAAACCGTTAAATCCAAAGACTGACTGTAGTTATGAAGAGGAGCTATATGTCAAGGGTTGTACTGCTGTTTGGTCTAAAGGTAAGATAATAAAAGCCTAATACTGTTGAATCAGGATAAGCCAGAAACTTCTACAAATGAGAGTCATTGTCCAGTTCTGTTGGACGTCCATACCCAAGAAAATCAGGTTATAGAGAAACCTCCATAAGGGATAAGCTGGTAATGTCTTTTAGACTCACTTATCCAGGTTAAATTCTATGTATTATAATTAGAATGTATCTTTTATTAAATTATAAAATATACATGAAACTCTAAACAAAATTCAGAATAAATAAATTTTCTGTGTTAATGTATTATAAAAAAATTATGTTTAATTTCCTCTTATTTTTAGGCTTAATATCAACACCTGGCACCAAGTTATCAGGACCTGAACAGAGAGAGACAATAGCTTGTTATACTATAGAGAACCCAATCAAACATGCCGCCTTCTGCGATTTTCATATCGGAATAAACAATACAATGTTATTAGATGCATTAAATTCTCAAATAGGTGATGTCAAGAAGAACATAAAAATCGAAGACACAACAGAACATATAGAAACAAATATAATGCCATCAATCTTACTAATGGACAGCAAATGTATGAGAGTTTACGCTGTAGATGGTCGAGAATACATAACAAGTATACCGTTCCAAGTTAAAAAAGTATGGCCAATGAAATACGGAGTTCTATTAGAAAAGGAACCATTACCTCAACTACACAATTCATTACTACCAACATCATTTTTTAAACTTAACGAATCCTGCAACAGTTCTTTATACAAATCTAAGACAAACGCACCTTTCAACATGAGTGCGAAGTTACGAGCTGAATCTTTAGTGGGCTATGATCAGGAATATCCATTACCCACATGTTTCTCATTATCACACCCATTGGACGAAGTCATACCCATATTAATCAAGTCACCATCCCAAGGGTTACAATATTACAGTGATGGGGATGTCCAAATTATATTTGTTAGTGTCAACCCTAGTATAATTTTACTATACGATTGGAAACTGGGATATCATTCGTTATGGAAGATTCGAAAAGCGACAAGAGAAGAATGCTTGAACATGTGTCCGAATATAAACTCAACAACGACAGTATTCAGTCAGTCTTGTGATTTTGTTGGCAGCCCTATGCAAAGTATGGCGAAGAATACAACCAGTTGGAATGCTGGGAGTCCGTTTCAATCGAAGAAAGGCATGAATACACCAAATAGATCTCGTCAGAATAGTCCTATGGCACATATATTCCATCAGCAAGGGTTGTCACCTCATGCATCTATTGGACAAGCATCATCAACTTCGATGTTGGCAAACTCAATAAATCAGACGCCACCATCCTTACCTTTGTACCCTGATATATGTTTAGATCATATTTGGACAGACAGTCAAGTTATACGAAGAGATCAAGTGGAAAGTCCGACTGATATAAAAACTTTCCTACATACGGACCTTGTAGGACACAATTACCTGTGTTTCCTTGTAAAAGTTGGAGGTGCAAATAAACTGCAGATATTGAGATTGCAGAAATCACATTCTCATGGACAGCTTTTGAAGAGTAATTTAATTGTGGGTGCCGTCTCCTCGGTGTACGCTAAAGATGCCGTAGTACTGAATGACTTGAAGATGATTGCGTTGATTGATGAATCTGGTAATATTATATTGCAGTCAGGGAACAGTGTCGTTGGCAAGGTATACAAATATTCCTTAAACATTTATTACTATTTTTATTGCTTACAGTAAATATTGGTAATTTTAATGAGTGCCAATAAGTAAAGTAATGTTATAAGAAATAAGAAAGTTGTTGGCGCGACTCCGTCCGCAAGAAATTAATAAAAAAAACGTAATTAGTAGCCTGTTTTCTTGCAGTACAAGTACCACATCTATGCCAAATTTCAGCGAGATCCATGCAACCGTTTGGAGATACCTTCTAATAAACATCCATCCATTCAAACATTCGTATTTATAATATTAATAATATTTAAAATGATTGTGGTATGTAGGTGCACGTGGGCGGTGTGCTGGCGCGGCTGCTGGACTCTCCGTACACGAAACGCGCGGCGCACCCGCTGGCGCTACCCTCGCTGCACTCACCCTTCCCCCGGCGCAGCAGTCTGCTGCCCAGCCGCACTGACTGCACCTTCGACGACTCCGCCCTCCACCTCCTCTCCCCCGTCCCCCACTCCTCCACCTCCAGGATCGAACACAAAGAAAGCCTTGGTAAGGATTTCTACCAAGTTTATCAATATATATCTTTGAAGAAAAAAGCAATCAGCTTAATATTGAAAGAAATAGAATAAGATCAGACTTCGTGTTGTCATCTGACAGCAGATTTAAGTATGTGATGCATGTACGTACGTGTAGGTCTGCGCGGAGTGCGCGACGCGGCGGGGCGGCGCGTCACGCTGTGCCTGGAGAACGGCGTGCTGTACCGCATCGCCCTCCCGCCCCTCGCCGCCGCCGCCCTCCCGCCCCGCGCCGCCCTCGCCCTGCGCGCCCTCCTGCCCCGCGACATCGCCATGCAGGTACACACACACACACACTCCTCTAAGTTAAAATAACAACGTTTATGTCCCCTCACTAATCATTCTGACACTTGACTTGGTAACTAATAATATCTAAAACTCCATACATACATACATCCAATGAATTACTTTACTTGGTTACAATAATCGATAGAATAATCCATAAAACTTTTGTTCATTATTTTAAAAAGTTTTAATACCTAGAAAGTGTGAATTCCCTTTATACAAAAAAATTGTATTACCTTTCTGCACTTTTGTTTGTATATAGCAAGCAATTGTAAGCAATTTAAAAGTAAAATTGTTCGCTATGTTTAGTTTTTTTATTTTTATTTACTGATATAAATATTTGAATGTCTTGCTTTTACTTATATTAATGTAATTTATATTTACAGGTTTTAATAAAATGGTACGGTGTACGTAACGCTCCGGGAACACAGGACTTAACACCTGAACAGGAATGGTCGATGTTCTCGAAGCTTCTATTGACTTTGATCGGATACGACGTAGAAAGACTCGGTCAGATACGTCAGAGCGATGAGGACGGCACAGAAGTAGCCAGCAAGAAACAGAGAACGTCCAGCGACGGCACACAGGATGACTGGGATTATCTTCTTAATTCCAGAATGCACAAAGCCATCGGCAGCTCGCTTGCCTGCATGTTAAACCTCAGTCCAACACAACCCGAGTCCAAACATTGGAAAGGAAAGACGAAGACCTTAGAAAGTGACAAACCGGTGCAGTTCAATACAAATTCACTATTATTTCCATACATGTTACAAGTATTTTACGCTTTCCATTTATTATATGAAGATTTAAAGTTAAATGTATTACTGTCGAGTAATTTGAAACCTTTATCTTCATTTTTATATCAACTGGCGAAAGATTTGAGGTTAAATAATTATGTGAATCATTACTGGTTGGATTTCCCTAATGATTATCATTATGAATGTATGGAAACGGACTCTCAAGTGAGTGATGTTATGTTGAAGAAACTCTCTCCACCCAATTACTTCTCTCCGGAGCCTCCCGGGATCTTCAGTTATTTGAACTCAATGTTGAAGAACTGTGATGTGGGATATTATCCTTATTTGCCTGAAGTTAATGATACGTGTCGGGATCTTATTGAGGTAAGTGAAAATGTTTATAAATACGTCAATATTATCATTGTATTCATCCTCTTTAACGTATTCTAGATATATTTTTTTAATTAAAAATATTAGCAGATATTTTGTAAATTTACTAATATTTCTTTAACCATTCCAAATAAGCTCTAAGCTTGTGCTAGGATATGGTTTACGACAATAGTCGAATGGCGGGATTCGAACCCCCGACCTCGTGATCGGAAATCCGTACCCTTCACCATTAGGCTATTGACGGATTATTGTACCGATTGCATTGAAAATTTGGAGTCGGATGACAATATGTTTTGAATAAAAGTATTTTTAGTGTTATAAAAGTGTTTTGATAACAAAATATACAGTAATAGAATGAAACAAATCTGTTTCTAAATAAAGGTTAGTTTAAAAAAACCATAATCATAAGAACAAGGCTCGGCAGTTTTAGAGCGAGACAAACGTATGGGATGACATGAGACATACAAACCATAGAAAATTTCATTTAAGCATAATATTGTTGTTTACATTGTGTAACAACTTGTTATAGATACTGAGCACGGTGGGGTGCGGGAGCGGTGCGGGAGTGCAGCCGCTCAGCCTGCAGGTGCTGGGCAGCAGCACGCCGCGACCCCGTCGTGACTCCGGACCCGCACCAGCTCCGCACGCGCAGGCCGCGCTGCTCGCCGCACATAGAGGTACCACCTCACCCCACACCACCACCCCACCACCCCCCACACACACACATAAGGATAAGTTGCTTACTATACATGTCAGCATCACTTTACTTTGTGTACAAAGTACTCTGTTCACTATAATCAGAAGAAGACAGCCCACTCTTCACGCTAGCGCCATATACCCTTAAACCTTATTTAGAGTTTTTAGTTTTTTCTCTTCATTAACGATATTGTTAGCTACATTCTCATCCGACAAGACGTCTCTTGTCCCGTCGGACAACACAAAAACTAATATCAACCAGTCTACTTGAACTAGAATGTAGTTAAGTTCAGGAGCTGATAAATAAGTTGTTTCTTTACCAGGTATAACATTGCGAGGCATAGACAACTTCCCTCCAGCGATAGGTCTGATGCTGCTGAGCATCTTCAACCGGTCTAAGAGCGCGCCGCCG